TTTAATTAAAAAAAATGTTGCTAAGAAATTTTAATTTCATTATATAATGTAAATTCATGTTTTCTTACCTTCTCATCAGGTTGGTATAGTGGCCCTGGCCACCTTGTGCTTGGTGGCCACAAGCGCTGAGCCTTCCCCAGATGCTGAGCCTAGCTACTTCCGTAGAGGTTTCGGTGGAGGCTTCGGACACTATGGTGGAGGATTTGGACTCCACGGATTTAGAGGAAAGAGAAGTGCTGAGGCTGACCCTGAAGCAATTGCTGACCCTGAAGCCGACCCCAGCTTCTACGGTGGCAGGGGCTTCGGTGGTTACAGAGGAGGTTTCAGAGGCTTCGGATATCGTGGAAAGAGAAGTGCTGAAGCTGATCCTGAAGCAATTGCTGACCCTGAAGCCGACCCCAGCTTCTACGGTGGCAGGGGCTTCGGTGGAGGCTTCGGTGGTTACAGAGGAGGTTTCGGAGGCTTCGGATATCGTGGAAAGAGAAGTGCTGAAGCTGATCCTGAAGCAATTGCTGACCCTGAAGCCGACCCCAGCTTCTACGGTGGCAGGGGCTTCGGTGGTTACAGAGGAGGTTTCAGAGGCCTCGGATATCGTGGAAAGAGAAGTGCTGAAGCTGATCCTGAAGCCGTTGCTGAGCCTGAAGCTGATCCAAGCTTCTACGGTGGCAGGGGCTTCGGAGGAGGCTTCGGGGGTTACAGAGGAGGTTTCGGAGGCTTCGGATATCGTGGAAAGAGAAGTGCTGAAGCTGATCCTGAAGCTGATCCCAGCTTCTACGGTGGCAGGGGCTTCGGTGGAGGCTTCGGTGGTTACAGAGGAGGTTTCGGAGGCTTCGGATATCGTGGAAAGAGAAGTGCTGAAGCTGATCCTGAAGCAGTTGCTGAGCCTGAAGCTGATCCCAGCTTCTACGGTCACAGGGGCTTCGGTGGAGGTTTCGGTGGTTACAGAGGAGGCTTCGGATATCGTGGAAAGAGAAGTGCTGAGGCTGATCCTGAAGCAGTTGCTGAGCCTGAAGCTGATCCCAGCTTCTACGGTCACAGGAGCTTCGGTGGAGGCTTCGGTGGTTACAGAGGAGGCTTCGGAGGCTTCGGATATCGTGGAAAGAGAAGTGCTGAGGCTGACCCTAAAGCCGTTGCCGAACCTGAAGCTGATCCCAGCTTCTACGGGGGCAGGCGCTTCGGTGGAGGCTTCAGAGGCTTTGGAGGTCGTAGGTACTACGGCTAAATTTTGACTCCACTCTCCCGCCGCAATGTTCACAGACAATGACTCCTTATTTCGATGCGACACTTTAAATATTACAATAAATATATAGCAAATTAATTAAAATTTTCTTCATCCCTTTCTTGCGTAGCTTTAGAATTTTAATATATTTTAATTCTTCACATTATCTTCACAGTTTTTATGTTATCCGCCTTGTGCTTGTCTGAAGAATTACTAGTATTATCGCGTTCAGCATATCTTTATTTTGTAGATGAATCTATTGTAAGATATTGTTTACTGAGCTATTAATATTAACGTGGTCTTGTAAACAAAATAACCAATGAATTTGAAATTTTGTAAACTAAGTCATCTATCAATTCGCAACTATTTTATTAATCAAAGTTTTTAACATATAAATGTAAGCACTTTTTTATTTACGAATAAGGTCATTTAATTCAAATAAGATGAACATAATGTAAGACAAGAGTGATTTACATGTGCATGTATATAGAATAATAGACATCAATGTCTATAATCCTGTTACTGGTGTATACGTATTTATTAATAAAAGAACTATATATTGAACCTTTATATATTCAGACAATTCTCATGATCTGCCACAACGTTTAATATCCACCGTTTTAACCTTACCAGAAACGCACGAACCCAAGCTATATAAAGTATATTTTTATGAGTATTTCTTCATAGGACACAGCATTTGGAACGTTGGTTACCATAAAGTATCAAAGCTACATATTAGTTGAGACAACGGGCTGATATAATAATACATGTGATACAATAATACACAATAAATTAGACAACAGGGTAAAAAGTTACAACTATACATTTGTCTAAACATCCTATGAAATAAATTTTTCGGTGACGTATTTTTTACAACAAACTCAAGGAATTAGTGTAAGTTAATATTAAATCAGAAATGGTTAAAGAAACTGTTTTATACCATCACTATTAATTTATTTATAAATATAGTTATTTATTTAAATGAAAAAATTAGAATCGAAACTTTGAGAATTCAAACTTTGTCCCGTTAATGGTGATGTCCGATCTACATTCAAGTCCCAAATAGTAAAACAGGCAATTGGCCATCCTATGGTCACATTAACGGACGAATGCACATCAGCCTGCAGAGTTACGCATTTAAGAAATAACTTACCAGCACATAATGCCAACTATGTACTTGGGATCCGAATTATTAATTTAATTAATATGTCTAAATTATGGTTGTCTTCGAACCCTATTCAGAACCCATTTTCTAGAATCAAGGCTTGCTGTATTGTACGTGGTCCCGTTGCCCTCAAAGGAGAGTGAGTTCTCGCGCCAAGCAGTATTCTCCTAGTTTAACACCTACACTCGTCACCTACTCGTCACCTACTCGTCATAAGCAAAGACAACTTATCTTTCTGACCAGGTATTGCTTCAAGCATAGTCCCAAAGAGAATGTGATTGGAAATGACAGTTTTGCACTCCACCTCACCTCTCCACCAAGTCTCCACCAAATCTCTTCACCTCACCTCTCCTTCTCACCTCTCCATCACACCTCTACACCACACCTCTCAACCACACATCCAGCATCAAAGCCATGTTGTCCATCCTGTATTAACTTATATTTATCAAGATGTTTACAAAACGCTTTCGTGTTTTCAGATTCAACCAATTTCGCACAATAGATGGGGAGATAATTGACAAAATGTTCAATGCAAGTGATCACTTCCAATTCCCAAAACTCCTAGGACCAGGAACTCTTCTCAACTCATGATATTTAAACATGCAAAGTTTCACTAAACGCATCCTCACATTCTTTATCGATACTTGTCCACACAACCCTTCACGTGACCAGCCCCCACAGTACTTTACGTCACCAGCCCCCACAGTACTTCACGTCACCAGCCCCCACAACACTTCACGTCACCAGCCCCCACAGTACTTTACGTCACCAGCCCCCACAGTACTTCACGTCACCAGCCCCCACAACACTTCACGTCACCAGCCCCCACAGTACTTCACGTCACCAGCCCCCACAACACTTCACGTCACCAGCCCCCACAGTACTTTACGTCACCAGCCCCCACAGTACTTCACGTCACCAGCCCCCACAACACTTCACGTCACCAGCCCCCACAGTACTTTACGTCACCAGCCCCCACAATACTTTACGTCACCAGCCCCCACAGTACTTCACGTCACCAACCCCCACAATACTTCACGTCCCCAACCATCACAATACTTTATGTCTCCAGCCCCAACTATTCACCTTAAATTCTGTATATCTTCATAAATGTATTAAATCTGTTCGTAAAAAAAGATTTGAGCTTGTGAATTCTACATTCCTACCACTCATTTTTGTCAGCATTTTTATCAGTTTCATAACCTCTCTTTTTTTCTATTTTTTCAGTATTTTCCACAATTTTTTTTTATATATTAATAAGAAAAAAAATATTTGCCTTCCTCGGCTCTGCTATACGTACTTGGTAATTTCTTTTTAGATTTCAATTTTCTTTTTTAACTATTCATGTTCAAAGCGGCCCGACAGAGTCCCTCACTTTTATGACCTCGGGGACCTCGCCAGCCAGGCAATACGCTGACGAGTCGTGTGTGTTCCGTCGAGTCTTGCACAACACCCTCAGGTGTTTGATGTGCCGGAGTCTTAGTTCCCTGAAGCCGTTTTCATGTGCAGGTGAGAAAGACAAATAGACTTCATGATTACAGATATTTTCAAGGGTTAACGGTGTTGTTCTGGTGCCATTCTTAGATGCAAAGCTGTTGTTTCATAGAGCTCTCGGAGAGTCCTTGAAGATCTTCGGAACGCTGTTTGTCTTACGAAGATCTTGGAGGGCCATTGTATTATAGAGCACTGGGGGATATTTATCACATAATGCTCTTGAAGGTGTTTACCATACTAATCTTTACGAGTGTTTGTTTATCTCGTAAAGCTCTTGTAAGGTGATTGTCTTGATGAGCTCTGAAACAGTGTTCATCCTATAGAGCTTGTGCTGAGTCAGTATCTCTTAGAACAATTTTGTCCTAGGTAATGATAAATTGAACTGTACATGCCGCAATTACTTTTCCTATTTCATTACTAAATTGTGCTCTGATTTGAAGAGGTTCGTATGACATTGTTTACATATCTATGGCGAGTTATTTTCCCTTGAAGAGAAAGACGACCTTGGTTATCTTCTCTGGGAGATTCATTAATAGCGTTGACCGATGACACTAGTGACTTGTCTCTTCTTGGTGGGACGACGAGGCTGGTATTGCTCAAAGACAGGTATTGTTTCAAGCTTTGATGGTTGTTGATCCGTCATGACATTTGTTTCAGATTGTAAGTTTTATGTTGCATGTGGGCGGGTTGCTTCAGGGATAGGTGATAAGATCCAGTTATAAGACAGGTGCTAAGATTCAAATACTCTCTTTGATTTCCTCCAAACGACGACTGATTTTTTTTTTTTTTTTTTTTGCAGGGATATTCCTGCGCGGGCCCTAAGCCTCTGACTGGCCCACTAAGTGTTGCTTGTTTCTGTTTTACTTGGGAGAAGTATGAGTATTTATTACTCGTATGGTCGCTTCAGTAAGATTTTGCCATATGTGTTTAACAACTTCTTCTGCTCTGTTGAATCTAAGTTGAAATCTCAGTGGGTTTGTAACTGTGCACTGTGTTAGATAATGTTCCAGTGGTCTGTTGTGGCTGTAACTGTGCACTGTGTTAGATAATGTTCCAGTGGTCTGTTGTGGCTGTAACTGTGCACTGTGTTAGATAATGTTCCAGTGGACTGTCTGGCATTTCTCCACAGTGTTGACATTTCCTCTCATCTTCCGGAATCTGTAAGCCTATTTCCCATGCACATGGGTATCCAAGCCTGATGCGATGTAAGTGCACTTCTGTTGCTCTACTGCTCCCTTTCATCAAACTAAATGGTTCGTAGTTGGTTGAATTCTTGTACCAACCCGCAGATCCTGATGTTGCAACTGCTCTGTTGTGGTCACTGTACATCTTTTGCATTGCTGTTTCTAATTAGTTTCATAATCTGTGATAGACTCTGTGGTATATAAATGTCTACATTTCTTCTCTTAGTTATGACGACTGATGAAAATATTCAAGCGAGGTTTTTCCCAGAAAATCTGAGGTAGCTGAGTTCGTTATGTAAAGATATACACCGCCATCATCGTTGTGACACCTCCCTTATTTGACCCCTCCAGGCTTCCACAGCCTGGAGGGGTCATATGAACATACGTTGAGGCCTTCACAATAGCTCGATCCCTGGGAATGTAAACATTTATGAAAACCTGCGTGTGGGACAGTAGAACTAGCATCATAGTTCTGAAGGTTTAAAGCCAGTTTCTAGACCTGGCAAGCAGGGACGGAGAGCCCGTTGTGGGGAATTCTAGTCAGCATTGCTCGGGTGGGGTGGTCAGGTTGTTTCGAAATGAACATGGGGTGGATTGTTCGATTTGAGATTTAAGGGACACACATTTTCTCTCTCTCTCTCTCTCTCCTCTCTCTCTCTCTCTCTCTCTCTCTCTCTCTCTCTCTTCTCTCTCTCTCTCTCTCTCTCTCTCTCTCTCTCTCTCTCTCTCTCTCTCTCTCTCTCCTCTCTCTCTCTCTCTCTCTCTCTCTCTCTCTCTCTCTCTCTCTCTCTCTCTCTCTCTCTCTCTCTCTCTCTCTCTCTCTCTCTCTCTCTCTCTCTCTCTCTCTCTCTCTCTCTCTCTCTCTCTCTCTCTCTCTCTCTCTCTCTACTCACATTGTAAACATACGTATTCATCTCAATTCTTTGGATTCCCGCTGGTTCATCTTCTCAGAACGGACACTAAACTCAATGAAAAAAAGACGGAAAAAGACTTATCATTTACGCAAGGAAAACACACACAAAAACTGGTCCCAGGTGATGGCATCACTGGAACTCAGCGCGTGCGCAGATCCCTCGTATAATATAAATGGACGGATCTCCTCCACATCACCACAGTCGACATAGTCGTCTTCCAGAGCCATGAAGACTTTGGTGAGTTATTCTTTTTGATCAGAGAATATATATAACTGGCAGTGTCGACTGTTTCCCATTGTATACCTACTAAAGATTCAGATTCAGATTCAGATGTTATTCAGGTAAGGTATATACATACAAGTGATGTTACATTAATGGATTGATATATAGATAGAGCTAGTACATACAATGCCTAAAGCCACTATTACGCAATGCGTTTCGGGCAAGAAGATTACTTTAGTCCTGAACTATGTTGCTGCTTGGTTAGTTACAGTTTGATGAACATAATAATCATGGTTCATAGGCCTTAGGCTACAATTGAAGGAAAACGTAATTTAACATAAGTTTCTTATGCTAAGTGATTTGCTACTTCTCAGTGTTCACACACAGTGATATTGATAACTTGTTTCTCCTGTCCCCTGGCAGGAAGTCGTTTATTATTTGATGTTTTATATTATCAAAATATTAAGAACCAAATATTTTCACCCAAAGGTTCCAGGTTAAATTATATAAAAACCTTTTTGAAGTGATTGTTTCTGAGTTGATTATTTTCATATATCAACTTATTTACACCTTAATTATTCTTAAGTAATTTTCAAGTATTCTGTTTGTTTTTAATCAAATTCATTACCGTAAAGTGAAGGGGAACTTTTCAGTCGTATTCCATTTTTAAATAAGATTTAGTTCTCGCTTTTCCAGATTTGGAAATTGTATGATGCATAAAATACTAAAAATATGGTTGAGTTAGAGTACTCATTATATACATTAACATCAGTATTTATGATCGATAATGAACCTGAACAAAAAATTATCGAATCCATAATTTCAGCTATTTTAGATGTTTTGCTATATGCAAATCTAAGGTTAATTAAGGGATATATATCCAGACAAAATTTATTTATCTGAACTTAACGCTTAAGTCCTGAACTGGGCACAAAAATCTACTTGGGAAATTATATTTTACGTTCTATTTGGGAAAGAGAAACTAAAATCTAGAATTTATTTCTTTAAACGAACAATTCAAGATTTGGACACTTGCTTGAATAATATGAGATTATTTAAACAAGAGATTTCAACTCTAGGAAAAAAATTAATTTTGTTTAACCATATTTGTTTTAGTCAATAAGACAACAAAACAAAGTTAACAATTTTGTTCATTAGTTTAATTAAAAACCTGTTGCTGAGAAATTTTGATTTCATTATATAATGTAAATTCACGTTTTCTTATCTTTTCATCAGGTTAATGTTGTGGCCCTGGCCGCCTTCTGCTTGGCAGCCACAAGCGCTGAGCCCTCCCCAGATGCTGAGCCTTCCCCAGATGCTGAGCCAGGCTATTTCCGGAGAGGTTTCGGTGGAGGTTTCGGACATTATGGTGGAGGATTTGGACACCACGGATTTAGAGGAAAGAGAAGTGCTGAAGCGGATCCTGAAGCCGTTTCTGACCCTGAAGCCAATCCCAGCTTCTACGGTGGTAGGGGCTTCGGTGCAGGCTTCCGTGGTAACAGAGGAGGCTTCGGATATCGTGGAAAGAGAAGTGCTGAGGCTGATCCTGAAGCCATTGCTGAGCCTGAAGCTGATCCCAGCTTCTACGGTGGTAGGGGCTTCGGTGCAGGCTTCCGTGGTAACAGAGGAGGCTTCGGATATCGTGGAAAGAGAAGTGCTGAGGCTGATCCTGAAGCTGATCCCAGCTTCTACGGTGGTAGGGGCTTCGGTGCAGGCTTCCGTGGTAACAGAGGAGGCTTCGGATATCGTGGAAAGAGAAGTGCTGAGGCTGATCCTGAAGCTGATCCCAGCTTCTACGGTGGCAAGGGCTTCGGTGGAGGCTTCGGAAGCTTCGGAGGCTTTGGAGGTCGTAGGTACTACGGCTAAATATTGACTTCACTCTACCGCCGCAATGTTCACAGACAATGACTCCTTATTTCGATCCGACATTTTAAGTATTACAATAAATATATAGTAAGTATTACAATACAAATGTTGTAAATTGAATCTCATTTTCATTTTTCCCTTAAACGTAAATCGACATGTTACATGATTTAGTCTCTTGCGTACCATTATAATTTTAGTATATTTTAATCCTTTACATTACCTTCACTCTTTTTATTCTATCCGCCTTGTGCATAGTCAGAAGAATTACTAGTATATATATATATATATATATATATATATATATATATATATATATATATATATATATATATATATATATATATATATATATATATATATATATATATATATATATATATATATATATTGGTAGCAGTCTTTCCTCTAGACATATATTATTAAATATGACCGAAAAAGTAAGATTAATAATTCTAACACGAATTTTCTCGATCTTTCTTACATTTCTTTTCACTGTTGATGATAATTCAAAAACCAATTCTCCAAAATTCATTTTTATTTCTAGTCTGATGCGACACTTGAGCGCGTTTCGTAAAACTTATTACATTTTCAAAGACTTTAGTTTACACATACACACACAACTTTAACTGAATAGAGCTGAAACATCATCGAGTTTTTATACCTACATTTGGGTGAGGTGACATGTTACAATAGTTTTGGATGAGGTGAAAATAAACTTTTAACACAAGACAGGACACGAGAAAATGGGTATTAAAGGTAGGTAACTGCAGAATGCCTATTTTTATTGGCCCATATTTCTTGATGATTCTATATTGGAGCGGAGTATTGAAGTGGGTAGAATATAATTGTGCATTAATTGGCTGTTGATTGCTGGTGTTGACTTCTTGATGTGTAGTGCCTCGCAGACGTCAAGCCGCCTGCTATCGCTGTATCTATCGATGATTTCTGTGTTGTTTGCTAAGATTTCTCTAGTGATGGTTTGGTTGTGGGAAGAGACTATGTTCCTTAATGGAGCCCTGTTGCTTATGCATCGTTAAACGCCTGGAAAGACATATTGTTGTCTTGCCTATATTCTGAGTTTTTTGAGGCTTACAGTCCCCAAGAGGGCATTTGAAGGCATAGACGACGTTGGTCTCTTTTAAAGCGTTCTGCTTTGTGTCTGGAGAGTTTCTCATGAGTAGGCTGGCCGTTTTTTTGGTTTTATAGTAAATTGTCAGTTGTATCTTCTGATTTTTGTCTGTAGGGATAACGTTTCTACTAACAATATCTTTCAGGACCCTTTCCTCCGTTTTATGGGCTGTGGAAAAGAAGTTTCTGTAAAATAGTCTAATAGGGGTATAGGTGTTGTGTTAGTTGTCTCTTCAGAGGTTGCATGGCGTTTCACTTTCCTTCTTATGATGTCTTCCACGAAACCATTGGAGAAGCCGTTGTTGACTAGGACCTGCCTTACCCTACAGAGTTCGTCGTCGACTTGCTTCCATTCTGAGCTGTGGCTGAGAGCACGGTCGACATATGCGTTAACAACACTCCTCTTGTACCTGTCTGGGCAGTCACTGTTGGCATTCAGGCACATTCCTATGTTTGTTTCCTTAGTGTAGACTGCAGTGTGGAAAACTCCGCTCCTTTCCATGACTGTTGCATCTAGAAAGGGCAGCTTCCTATCCTTCTCCATCTCGTAAGTGAAACGCAACACAGAAATCTGCTCAAATGCCTCCTTCAGCTCCTGCAGATGTCTGACATCAGGTACCTGTGTAAAAATGTCGTCAACATACCTGCAGTATATGGCCGTTTATATATATATATATATATATATATATATATATATATATATATATATATATATATATATATATATATATATATATATATATATATATATATATTAAATATGACCGAAAAAGTAAGATTAATAATTCTAACACGAATTTTCTCAATCTTTCGCACATTACGCTTCACTGTTGGAGGTAATCAAAAATCACTTCTCCAAAATTCATTTTTATTTCTAGTCTGACGCGACACGGGCGCGTTTCGTAAACTTATTACATTTTCAAAGACTTCACAAATGCACAACTGATTAGAACGTATATATATATATATATATATATATATATATATATATATATATATATATATATACTCAATTTATACGTTCTAATCAGTTGTGTATTTGTGAAGTCTTTGAAAATGTAATAAGTTTTACGAAACGCGCCCGTGTCGCGTCAGACTAGAAATAAAAATGAATTTTGGAGAAGTGATTTTTGATTTACCTCCAACAGTGAAGCGTAATGTGCGAAAGATTGAGAAAATTCGTGTTAGAATTATTAATCTTACTTTTTCGGTCATATTTAATAATATATGTCTACAGGAAAGACTGCTACCAAAATATATTAATATATATATATATATATATATATATATATATATATATATATATATATATATATATATATATATATATATATATATATATATATATATAAATATATATAAATATATATATATATATATACATATATATATATATATATATATATATATATATATATATATATATATATATATGTGTGTGTGTGAATATATATATATATATATATATATATATATATATATATATATATATATATATATATATATATATATATATATATATATATATACTCAATTCAACTCTGTTGAACATAGTCCAGGATTAGAGTAAACTTTAATAAATATATTCACACAGAGAGATAGACTTATCGATGTAGATATTCCTCTACTCCTTCCGTCTATTACAAATTATACTAACTGCAAATTAAACCTTTATGTATTCAGGCCGTTATTTTGAATTGGCACAATATGAGTCCATGGTAGCGTAGTGGTAACACAGTCGCCCCGCACTTCGCCAGCGATTTGACCTAGGTTCGTATCCTGGCCGGGTAAGATTGACTAGGTACCAATCCATAACAGAAATTTTTTTCCTGATTTAATCAAGAAAGCACGAACCCAAACAACCTCCCTAACCTAACTAGCCGATGGATAGAAAAGTATGTAATTTTCTGAACCCCCTACTTTTCATAGCACTTGTTGCATTTGAAACGTTGTTTGCCATAACGTAACATAGCGACGCATTAGTTATAGGGCTGGGTAAATATCTTAATATGTTCCTCCATAATAAATTACACTCTCTGGTGAAAAATTTTAACTTAAGTTACTGAAGCCTTGGGAATTAGCACATGGGATGAACGCAGTCTGCAGGCCTTGCTGTAAGTTACTGGTCTCGTGTTTGACTTACGGAACTCAACCGCCCCATAAATTGTAAGTAGAGACGTGTGAACTGACTATTAGTGATAAGCTAAGTTGCTACACCCTTGTGTAGCCTACTGACTTCTTACAATAATACCCTGCACCCTTGTGTCTTAAGTGTTTACACCCATGTGATTAGTAAGTAAGTCAGTGGATGCAGAGTGTCTTAAATGTTTGCAACAACACTGCCTGACTGTCTTAAACGTTTGCAACAATACTCCATGCCTGTCTTAAATTATTGCAACAACACTGTCTGACTGTCCTAACCATTTGCAACAACGCTCCCTGACTGTCTAAAATGTTTGCAACAACACTCCCTGACTGTCTTACATGTTTGCAACAACACTCCCTGATTGTCTTAAATGTTTGCAACAACATTCCCTGACTTTAAAATGTTTGCAACAACACTCCCTCGCAATCTCAATATTTGCAACAACACTCCCTTGCTCCCTTAAATGTTTGCAAAAATATTGTCTGACTGTTTAAAATGCATGCAACGACACTCCCTGATTGTCTTAAATGTTTGCAACAACATTCCTTGACTGTTTAAAATGTTTGCAACAACACTCCCTCACAATCTCAATGTTTGCAACAACACACCCTCACTGCCTTAAATCGTTGCAATCTATCTGACTGTTTAAAATGTTTGCAACAGCACTCCCTCAGTGTCTTAATGTTTGCAACAACACTCCCTTACTGTCCTAAATGTTTGCAACAATATTATCTGACTTTCTTAAAAGTTTGCAACAGCACTCCATGGCTGTCTTAAATGATTGCAACAACACCGCTTGACTGTCGTAAATGCTTGCAACCTCAATGTTTGACGTAACATCTCTGTCTTCCTTTGTGTGACTGCATTGGACACTTCAGCGTCCCAAGTGTCTGTTGGTTTCTGAAATCCTTTTATTTGAATCCAACAGTACAGAGTCCCAAGTGCCTGTATTTAACAGGACAGCGTCCCAAGTGTCTGTATTTAACAGTACAGAGTCCCAGGTGTCTGTATTAAACAGTACAGAGTCCCAGGTGTCTGTATTAAACAGTACAGAGTCCCAGGTGTCTCTATTTAACTATTTAACAGTACAGAGTCCCAGGTGTCTGTATTTAACAGTACAGAGTCCCAGGTGTCTGTATTTAACAGTACAGAGTCCCAGGTGTCTGTATTAAACGGTACAGAGCCCCAGGTGTCTCTATTTAACAGTACAGAGTCCCAGGTGTCTGTATTTAACGGTACAGCATCCCAAGTTTCTGTATCCAACAGTACAGCATCCAAAGCCCAAATTATGTTATTATCAATTAGAATTGGTTGTAATTTAAATATCTGAATTATGTCTATAAATTAGTTTCCAAATTAATTCCAACTGGATTACATGAATTATTTTTTTCCAATAACAATTCACATTGAATGGTCATAATAACACTATTAAGATGATCTGTACTGTTATGATTTATTTTACATTTTTATTTATTTCCTCAAAACGAAGAGGATAGCCAGATGATAATAGCCTGTGTTCAGCCGTAGTATCCATAGCCTCCATACCCTCCATAGCCTCCGTATCCTCCGTATCTTCCACCGAATCCGCCAAGGTAACCGGGCTCAGCGCTTCTCTTCCCACGATAGTAGCCTCCGTAGCCTCCATATCCTCCTCCGAAGCCTCCAAAGCTTCCTAAGCCTCGGCCGAAACCTCCAAAGTAACCGGGCTCAGCAGCAGGCTCAGCGCTCCTCTTCTTACGACCGTAGAGTCCGTAGCCTCCATATCCTCCCCCGTAGCCTCCATATCCTCCTCCGAAGCCTCCAAAGCTTCCTAAGCCTCGGCCGAAACCTCCAAAGTAACCGGGCTCAGCTTCAGGCTCAGCAGCAGGCTCAGCGCTCCTCTTCTTACGACCGTAGAGTCCGTAGCCTCCATATCCTCCCCCGTAGCCTCCATATCCTCCCCCATAGCCTCCATATCCTCCTCCAAAGCCGAGGCCTCGGCCGAAGCCTCTATAGCCACCTAGGAAACCGGGCTCAGCATCTGGGGCAGGAACAGCGCTTGTGTCCACCAAGCAGAAGGCCGCCAGGGCGGCAACAATGAGCTGTTGGATGATACAACATGTTATGTTACATGTAGTTATACTAACTAAAACGGAGTTTAAATAGGCTAGCATAGGAAGCATTCTTGTATACGAAAGAGGTATGTATAATGAAGAGAATGAAACTCCTCTAATAACGTTGGATTGTTTTCAACAAGATACTAAAACTGTGTTGCTATTATGATTCAAAGAAAATTATATATTTTTTTAATCAGCAAATAGAACGTATCAAAGTCGATATGACTATGAAATTCTGTAAGATAGCTAGAGTGTTACTGACCAAGATCTTCATAGTTGTGGAATATCAGCTGACTGTGGCCAGGTGGAGGGAGCGCGTCCTTTTATTCCGGCAGGCAGGGGCGGGGCTCTCTCCTGTGGACTTGTGGGCCTCGATTTTCAAGGACTGACAACATATATTTTTAGCATTGTGACAGCAGACCGTCCTTTGTTCTTTCCCTCACCTTTGTGTCGTGCTTGTTCGTGTTGAAGCTGGGATAATGAGATGTGTTCGACACCTTACCCTTGGTTGCTTTAAACTGTGTTCTCTTGTCTTACATATCATCCCAGGTCCTTCACTGATTCAGGAAGCTGTTTTCACTTCACTTCATCTCAGTTATGCTTGCAAATACTTTTGCAAGCATAACTGATACCACTAATGTTCAGCATACCACTAATGTTCTGGTTGTACACACTGAAATCACAATGGCGTGATATATCAAATGAACAAATCCACAAGGGCAGTGATTAGGGTTCGAACCTACGCACAGGATGTTCCCAGCTGCGCCTTAGTCAACTGTGCCACGAATTGGTTCATAATTCTGGTTGTAATTATTATTATCACGTCATTCGTATACAAAAATATAATAATGTTTTCTTGACAATACAATAATAATGTATATTTCAGAGAAATATACAACTTATACACAAAAATCACTATAGCGTGATGTATCATATGAACAAATCCACAAGGGACGTGGCGAGGGTTCGAACCTACGTCAGAGAGGATCCCAGATGCGCCTTAATCGACTGAGCTACATGATAAAACAATGTAACCGGGAAATCAACTTGACCTACCACGGATCCTGCAGTCTCTTTTCCTGCAGTTGATTTCCCGGTTGCAATTCTTTTACCATGTCGTAGCTCAGTCGGTTAAGGCGCGTCTGGGATTCTCTCGGACGTAGGTTCGAACCCTCGCCACGGCCCTTGTGGATTTGTTCAAATATTCAAGTCTGCAGCTCTGTATATATTGCTTATGTATTATAAAATAATTTTGATAACCATAATAATAATGATATTTATTAGATATGCAAAGTATCAGATTACAGTGGTTTCTTAGTGGATACAGTATTTGTACATTTTATAAAGCCTCTAATGTATCCCTCAAAAAAACTTCAAATGAAAATAGTAACGTTCCAAAGATATGCATCACGACAGCAGCACAACAATACTGACTTGATAACGAATGACGATGAGAAACTGTTAAGCAAATACCATGTATAGTAAGATCTCTGGCAACATACAGTTCACATTGCCATCGACATGACGTAACAAAACTCTTCGCCACCCTGAACACAATGAAGTTTCAATCCATGACAATAGTATTAGACGGAGTATCACAATGTATACTAAAAGAGGCAGATTTGGTGCTGGGCAAACACCTTGCTGTACTCTTCAACTCATCACAGCAAATAACTGAATTATCAGAATTTGGAGACCAGGAGATTTGATATTTATTTACCTATAGGATAAAAAATCAGAAGTCACTAAACTACATAACAGCGTTACTTATAAGCTTTGTAAGGTACTAGAGAGACGTATCAGGAAAAGAACAGTTTAAGCATTTAGATAAATATTCGCTTTGTGTCTTAAAATGTCGGCTAGAAATATTATATTCACACTATTTTCATTCAAATTGTAAATAACGTTATATGTACCTTCTTATTGCTTCGCAATTTGAGGACGCAACATTGACTGACAATCTATGCTTCATCAACTTATATAAATGTTTCCATACACTAATAATCCAACCTGTGTTCTGGAGTTGCCACAATGGACAGAAATAATGTACTTAAACGCTTGAACCTAACTTAACCTTACCAATTAACCCAGGCATAGAAAACGTTAATGTTTGTGAGCCACTGTGATGTATAGTACTCATTGAATTGTCCGTTCGGCATTTTGATGTCAAAATGCATTGTGTACTGTGTGTGAGAGGACGGGGAAATCAGTCAATGAGTTTAACTCTCACCTTGAAATATCTGAGTCATCCAGAGGGGAAAAGCCGCGCGTGGTGCCACACCTTACCATAAGCGGACCTCTGACGACGCCAAGTTACACATAGCAGATGATCACTAAAAGCAGGGGATCTTAACCAGGGGTATCCATATACCCTTGGGGGTATAGGAAGCTAATTATGAGGGTATTGTCTCTGAACACTTTTAAAGAACAGTTAAATTATAATTAAGTAGTACAATTATCAGTACCATTTAAAGCGGTTCCGTGTTTTGATTTCACAATAGCAAAAATTACCACTATATGATCTGCTGTGTTTCTATTGTGACGATAATCTCTTTCAAGAGAGATTTAGCCTGCTCTTCCCTATATCATTTACGTCATTCTACAAGTACAAGATACTATATTGAAGATATATCCACCAGTATCACAAAACGTTTTGCCCAGGAAGCAAAGCGTACCTTGCACCACCAGACACGCCGGCTCTCCACCCGTCGTCAACGAGCAAACTACCCATTCTCCGCCTGCCTGCTCCTGATTGGCTGGTGTATCGCCGACAACACCTGCCCCTGCACTCACGCCCTCTACCTGAGTCGACGTCTGGGCCAGCTCACGCCGTCCTCCTCAGAATATCTTTGTGCTCTTAGAAGTTGACATCTCTCTCTGGTAGACTAAGCCCTAGCTGTCGTGTACTAAGGGAGGTGGCAGCTCTAGCCAATATTCTCAGCACCTGATTATTATTATTATTGTCTTGCACTTTATTTTATATTAGAGTAATTTTTCACATTTATTAATTATTCATGTTTTGTTTGTTGACTTGTTTTGAATTTTACGTAAGCCAAGGGATTGTCTTTGTTCATATCTTGTTTTCTAAAGTAATTAAAATTTCATTGTTTATATTGTGTTTTGCGTGTCTTCCCATTACTTTACCACAGATAAACAGGCAAGCAGTCTCTTTTTTTTCTGTAAGTGTGACAAGGCATTGCCACCTGCCATTGGAGGACTGCCGAACATCAACACTACAACACTTTACCGTCACACTATAAACATACATGATAAAATATTGTTTATTGGCTTTAAACTGGTCTGGTCCTAGATATCTATATGTAAAGTAAAAACAAGATATTGAAGGTTTTGAAGTCATGCTGGTATGTCATAGGACTAATGATGTTTTTTAGTCTGTCAAATTGGGTATGGGGACGTATTGGGTAATCCATTGGACATATGTAATTGTAGAAAATGTTAAGAACACTTGACTAGAGGGGAACTGAATCTTCCCCTCACTAAATTAAAATGATGAAAAGAAAATCATAATGACCTCGAAAATTATTTGAATTCCAGTTCCAATTTTTTTTTAAGAGAATGTGTGTATATAGAACATAAGAGCTGCTTACGGTGGTAATCACAGCAGTAACACAAAGTAATGAAGCGACTATTACGCAAAGCGTTTCGGGAAAAACGGTGATTTAAAACGATTCTAAAACAAAACAAATAAAAAGATCCCCAGTAGGGGCGGGGCTCTCTTCTACGGAATTGTGGGCCTCGATTTTCAAGGACTTTTGGCAACTTATAATTTTAGCATTGTGTCAGCAGCTTTGTTCATTTCCTCACCTCTGTACTGTGCTTGTTCGTGTAGGAACTGGGATAAGATGTTCTGGACACCTTACCCTTGTTGCTTTAAACTGGGTTCTTTTGTCTCACATCATCCCAGATCCTTCACTCATTCAGGAAGCTGTCTTCACTTTCATCTGTTCTTCCAACATCTCCTGACTCACCGTATACTTATAACTGTGCACTTGCATGAGATGAAGTCGACTGGTGTTCGACTTCATCCCAGATATGCTTGCAGATCCCTTTGCATTATCAGCATACCACCAATGTTATGGTTGTAATTACTAGTATCACGTCATCCCAATACAATAGTATGATAATGTCTTCTTGACAATACAACAATATGATAATGTATATTTCAAAGAAATATACAACTCTTCAGCTCTGTATATACAGCTTATGCATTATAAATTATTTATTAAATGATGATAATAATAATAATATTTATTACAGATGCAAAGCATCAGATTACAGTGGTTTCTTAGTGGATACAGTATTTGTACACTTTTATAAAGCCTCTAATATATCACTGAAGAAAAAATCTTGGAAAAACCTCAAATGAAAGTAGTAAAGGTCCAAAGATATGCAATAAGACAGCAGCACAACAATACTGATTTGATAACGAGTGATGATAAGAAACTGTTAAAAAAATGCCAGCTATAGTAAGATATTTGGCAACATACAGTTCACATTGCCATCGACTTGACGTAACAAAACCCTTCGCCACCCTGAACTCAATGAAGTTTTAATTCCTAACAATAGTAGTAAACGGAATCTCACTATGAATACCAAAAGAGGCAGACCTTGTGCTGAGCAAACACCTTGCTGCACTCCTCAAATCATCACAGCAAATAACTGAATTACCAGAGTATGGAGATCAGGATATATGCTATTTATTTACCTAAAAGATAAAAAATCAGGAGTCACTAAACTACATAACAGCGCCACTTATAAGCTTTGTAAGATACTAGAGAGACGTATCAGAACAAGAATAGAGGAAGCATTCAGATAAATTTCGCTTTGTCTTAAAACTTCGGCTGGAAATATTATATTCATATTATTTTATTCAAATTGTAAATAACGTTATATGTACCTTCTTATTGCTTCGCAATTTGAGGACGCAACATTGACTGACAATCTATGCTTCATCAACTTATATAAATGTTTCCATACACTAACAATCCAGCCTGTGTTCTGGAGTTGCCACAATGGACAGAAATAATGTACTTAAACGCTTGAACCTAACCTAACCTATTAACCCTGGCATAGAAAACGTTTATGTTTGTGAACCCTTGTGATGCAGAGTACTCCTTGATTTTTCCGTTCGGTATTTTGACGTCAAAATGCATTGTGTACTGTGTGAGAGTACGGGGAAATCAGTCAATGAGTTTAACTCTCACCTTGAAATATCTGAGTCATCCAGAGGGGGAAACTTCGCTCGTGGTGCCACACCTTACCATAAGTGGACCCCTGACGACGCCGTAGAGAGAGAGAGAGAGAGAGAGAGAGAGAGAGAGAGAAAGAGAGTGAGAGAGAGAGAGAGAGAGAGAGAGAGAGAGAGAGAGAGAG